CACTACAGAGCCATCTGTATGATGATTGCTACCATTCCAGAGAGAAAATTTCGATCTGCTGTTGTTGTATAAAGTATGATAAAAGATGCAACAAACAAGCTGCAACACATGTACAGAGTTGAGTATCACACTTTTACACTTATCATGCGCATATTGTGAATTACAATTATAACTTACGCGACAAAAAAATCAGTTGTTATACCATTTTTAGTTATATTTCGGTAGCGTTTTAATGTTCTCGAAAAAACCTGGAGCGATCGAAGATCTCCCCAGCCCCTCAATATAAATTAACAAAAATGTAAAAATGATGAAATCAATGTTTTCATCACATAATGTATAACCTTAATCAACAAAGCATTTCGACATAACATGTATTTTAGTGACTGAAGAACGAAATAAAAACTTACGTCGTCCACGACCTTGAAGAATATGAAAACTGATACGGCTTTTTGGTCCACCAAACGTCTTGTCAATCTACAACTGTTCACTGTCAAACATTGAACGCATCTGACAGGCAAGCTTGCAAAACTTGTTTATAAATGCTTCTGTATTGATAACATGAACAATTAAAACAATTGTCACAATGAATCGTTTCAGCTCCGATGTAACAATAGTTTTGGTTTTTTCTCTACGACAACAGGATGTTCTAGAGAGTACTTCGTTTCAGTTTGGACTTAACTTTAACCCCACCTCTGACTGTGCTATATAGACAATCGACCATTCTTATCTTTCAAACAACATTCAATAATATAATTATACTGAACTTTGTATAATGGTTCATTTTTCCAAGGCCAAGCTGTTAATTAAACAGCATAATATTTATGCTGTCATTTACAATCAAACGCGCCGCGCACCAAATTATTTTTTACGTTCTTTGCTAGCGGTCAACGTCAAATTCACACAGTAAATTTCAAGATAAAATTTTGTCCTAAAAATTACCCTGTTTTTGAGGTAATTTTCAGTAGGGAGTAATTTTTGCTCCACTGGTTCGGGAGTAAATTTAACTGCAGAAACGTGGGTATACCTCAACTCAACGTTACGCTTGCTGTCAACGTTACTTTTACCCAAGTTAACGTTAATATCGTATAATATATTTTTTGGCGAATAAATATGCGGGCGGACATTTTATTTCGTCGATATTACATGTAATAAATATTGACTAATAAATATTAATCATTATTATATATTCAAAGTCTATTTTTGTTCGTGATTGGTCAAAACGCGTCGGATTTCGAAATATTGCGGAAATATAAGATATCTATGGTTATTCCACCTCAGCTTTCGTCTTTAGTGGAAGTGGATAACACAGACCGAGACCTTGATAAATGACGATATCATACTCAACCTCATTCAATAATTGTTTAATATTAAGTATTGACTATTGTTTTGTTGGTAAATATTTGCTTCTATCAACTATCTTTTTTGACTGTCATACTTCGTCGTTTTATCCTATTGACTCGCTTTAAAATTTATTTCGTGCTTTTAATACGTTTAAACCTTCAAAATAGTTAGCAAGTAATGTGAGCTAAAAACGAATTAGAGGCGTGGCAAATGCATTTACACAATATTTATGTTTAATCTGCTTGGCGTACTCTTCATGTGCCGAACTTATTTGTATTAGACCCTGAGCGACACAAGAACGCCAGTGCTTCAAACGGCGTATACAAAATATGGACTTGAATAACTTAGTTCTGCACTTCACTTGGTGGAATTAATATTAGGATGTTCGGGTTTGTAATCCAAGTGAGAATATATACATTTTTAAAATAATATATACGTCTTAAAATGTATAAATTCTCACTTGGTATACAAAATATATGTTATTGACAAGCGAAACCTAAAATTAAATAAAATTCAAAACAACAAGTCTATTTTTAAATTACAAGATGGTTATTATGATACCAGTAAGAACACATTTTAAAAGTTGAGTTGGGTTTGGCACATGAGTGGAACGGCGTATGAATCAATGTCGCTCCAACGTCGCATGATGCGACCAGCTCTGCCGAACTTGCGTCGAACTTTTGCCGCTACAAATTCTGCCGTAATTAATTGATTCATACGTCGCTCTTCTGCCGTACCTAATTTGTTAATTAAGTTTGGCACATGAAACTAAATACGCCGTTTACGGGCCTAAAGGCTGTTTTCCACTTTGCCCGTATACCGTATAGTGTACCGGTGAGCATGCGCAGATTGAAAAGTGGGTGATAAATCCACGTATTTCCGATGTCACAGTTGGGCATCAAAATAACAAGTTCGTCGCGAGTCAGCTTTTCGGCGTGCTACGGACGACATTCACTAAATTTTGAAATTTAAAAATCTTTTTGATACGTTTCGGTACGGTACGGCTGAAGTGGAAAACGGTCTTTAAAGTATTTTAATACATATGAACACAGTCAGTGAAAAATTTCTTTATATTGTGTCTGTGCATGAACAGTATTGTAGCTTGCGACAATACGCCAACATAACGTTGACTTGGTCTTAGGTAAACGTTACGTTGGCATTAGGAAACGTACCGTTGAGTTGAGATCAACGCGACGTCGACTGCTAGCAAAGAGCTAGAAAATGTAAAGTTTTTTGCATCACCAAATTGTCAAATAAATCAGTGAAAAAGGCCGGGAGCATATTACAGTTCGCAATGAAAGCGTGCACTTTCATGTACATTGTTGCAAACAATTGTAATAATTGAATTGGCATTGTCCTTGTTCAAAACCCGTGCAAACTAATCAACTTTGCATAATATAGATTAGTGTGCAGATTATTAAATAATTTCTTTATAGCAGCGTGAAAATATCAGCCAATATTTTAACTTTGTTCAGTTAGGTAAACACAAATTGCAAATATAAAACCAAAGTCGCATGATACAATTGTATATGCAATGAGTTAGTGTTATGCCTATCCTCTATAGAATCAAAATAATAGTAAATTTGGTATATATATATCATTACATTTACAGTCCTATAAAATTATCCGTTGTTTGTCAGGAAGCCGTGAAATGAGTTGATGTTATGCCTATATAACTTGACGAAGACTGCCTTAGTTTGAGTCAAACCGACACGAATATTTTTCAACTAGTTTCGACAAAGTTTGTACACTTTCTAAATTATCTAGCTTGGTAAATATAAGGTATTGCACTTTGTTATCATCCAAATTGTTTGGATATAATTAAAATAACAGGAAGTTCTAGATCGATCGTTTCCAGCTCCGACAAGACCTCTTACTGGGTGCTATATACAAAGATTCTGTATATTCTTAATACTACATTTCGCAATAGAGAGTAAAAATATTGAACATCTATAATTTATAATAATACATATAAAAATGTTTTAAATTGAAAAAATTGTGATACAGCCATCAATATGCATGCAAAGCGGACAAAATTCCGAACAGTAAAATATAAAGGGCAATTCTCCAACATCAATCGATTTTACAAATATCAAGCCCATTTTACAAATATCAAGTCCATTTAACAAATAAAACGAAGTCGATCTTGCCAGTTAGGTCATAGTTTATTCAATGAATGTATATGATTATGTAGTAATTTATTCAACGATCGAACAAACATGGCGTATTTAACCAATAAATTCGCTTGTTAATACCGCAAAAGCAACGCTAAAATGGATAATGGGTCATAAGAAAGGAAATTTAAGGCTATGAGCGTAACGGACTAGAAATTTGACTCATAAAACGAGCAGTTAGTGACGCATTTATCTCAAACACGGAGTCATTCCCGTAGCAGTTGCATGCAACATTGCAACGTTGAAGACAATTTATTTTGAATCTTCCTTGGTTCCTTTGCTGAATAGTTTTACGAAATCATTTCATATTACGTTCCGCCATGTTCTTGTCCGATGTTGAAGAAATTACTACATCATCATTGCATATAAATTATGAAAAAATTTTTGTAAAATGGATTTCCAGATATTTGAGAAAACCGACTTAATGCGGGAGAAATGGACTTGATATTTCACTGTTTGCATTTTGTCTGCTTGGCCAAACATATTACATGCACGAACCTGGGGATGCATGACCCGCGTGGCAGACGGTTTTTTGGGGGAAGACTTGCGGGCGGGAAATTTAGGGCGGTAGAACTTCGCGTGGGCGGAGAAAGGGCAGGCGTGAAAAGCCCTTTTCTCCGCCCGAGCTAAGTTTTTCTGCCGTAATTTTCCTACCCGCAAATCATCCCCCAAAAAACTGTCTGCTACGCAGGCTAGGCGATGCATGCAATTGTATATTACCTCATGCTGATAAACCTACCAACATTACTGATGAATGATTTGATCTGATATTACATAAAGCATTTTTCAAACAAAGCGTGAACATCGTTTATATCAGAAAAAAATCTAGCGATTAATTTACTGCGCGATCGAGGTAAATACATGCATCTCAAGTAATTCCACCTACAACATCGATATCCGTGCTGCACCATCTTGCAATACAGAGCGTCCCAAAAAGAAAAGTCCGCCCCCCCCCCCTCCTCACTCCCACAATATTTAGTCGTATTGCTGCACGTTCGATTCTTACCAGAAGACCTAAAGTTGCATTTTTCGCAGGTGGTCTAAAGTTGTTATAAATTTTCTTTCGAACATTTTACCTACAAATATATCCCATACGTCTAGGTTAGGCAGGAAAAACCTGTAGTAAAATTAGCGTCATCAAGTAAGAATCATGCAGTCCTTTATGAGGATCGTGATAATATAGAATTGTATATAATATATAGGTGTAAACCCAACAACAAAATTAAAAGAAACCACGCGAATGACCAAGTAAAAAACGTATCCTTGTAGCTATATTCGAAATATATTTGAAGTTAAATCGAGAAAAAAGTAAATAATTAAATACGGCGCAGGGTATACATTCATGGTCACTTATACTTTAACCTGTAATTATTCATCTCGTTTACATATTAGTGCAGATACTGTATAATCATAATACTGGTACAAAGTAGTATGGCAGCTTATAATGAAGCCATTTAGACTTAGTGATAGTTGAACTTGATTCATTTACTCTTGAGGCGGTGGTACTTCTTCAATCACAATACGAGACACGGAATTCCAACCAGTATCACCATTTCCGAGACTATAACCCTGACACTTGCCTATCCAGAACCCCACACGTACATGACCTTTAGGAACCTGGTTACAGTAGCCTTCAATATGGCGGTGACGATGGGGGTTGACTTGGGTAGACTTAACGTAAACAACTCCTTCAATAGTCGCTGGTTTTGCACATTCTGCGCCATCAAATGTAAAATACCATCGATTGCAAACACCATTGCCATAAGAACGTAGGTTTCCTTCGTAAAATACACGAAGTGAAGTGTTGTCGTACTTCTTGTTGAAAACACAGCTCTATGCATAGTCAAAGAAAGACATCAGTTAGATCTAATTTATCCGAGTATACAGTTTCGCGCACACGTATAGCTATTTTCAATATACATTTGTCAGGGACGTGCTGGATAGGGTCGAGACAACGAGAACTCCTTGTGGGCCCTTGCCATCATCAAATTTTTTCAAACATTGAGATTTTTATTTTCACAATCAGGATTAAGATATTACAGTGTCTATTGTAAAAATCAAACTTCATGAAAATATTACGGAAGAATTTTTGTATGTTGGACCGAAAAGTTACGATATGACCGGAAAAAATTTCGTCTCCGGATATGTCCGGAAAAATTTTTGCATTCCAGGAAAAATTACTATATGTCCGAAAAAAATTTGGTATAACGGAAAAAATTGGCGACGTCCTCCCCCCCCCCCGCCGTTCGCCAACAGTTTTGGAAAAAATATTAATATTGAGCCACCGTTTACTGCGCATGGGCCCCATCAGACGCTGCTCACTCGTTGTCTTTTTTAAGACCCCCCCCACGTCTCCGACACTTGTGCTAATTATAATCAAATGTGTAGCACCAACATTTATTTAAATAAGTTCCTTGTGCCACAATAGTTCAAAGTACTCTCCTTGGTGGTTTACTTTGAATTCTCCATTAATGAAGGTAATTTTAAGTTCACTTTAATTTATGAACAACTCATGTAGATCTCTATGACTTCAGTAGACACTATAGACTATAGTTTAATATATTCTAATCACATTAAAAAAGTCATTCTGTGCTCTATACATTGAACACAAAATAGTATACACAGTGTGTTAGTGACCTTTAAAAAAGTTGTTACTAATTCATGAAGAAAAGACGAGGAAATACTACCGTGTCGGTGGTTTTACATGTGATAAAAAATCATTAATTTACATAAACCTTTAATTTTCTCGGCCTAGACAATATTTATTTTTAAAATTACTTCGCCAATGAACTACCCATAAGATGGGTCGTTTTTGAGCCATTTAAAACACTATAACAGTTGCTGTGCACTCATATTTTATATCTGATAAAGTACTCCTGTTCGTGTTCTAGGTATAGTACAAACGGTTTGGTGCAATAATACTCTAATGAAATTCAGTCACTTAATTGCCTAACTGTAATTTGTGGGACTTATATAGAACAATAATTTCTTATGTATGTGCATGTCCAATTGTCCAAGTAATGTTACCGGCGTTAAACATTTTGGCCAGTGCTAATTTTTCGAATAGTTGAAGTATCCAAATTCCGGAAAAAATGTTCAGCCAGGGGAGCATGGTGAAGTAAGGCAAGGCGAGGCAGCCGAATAGAAAACATTATTATACTGTAGGTTTTTTCTCTTTAATCGGGAATTTGACGCTCAGTTAAGTGCCTTTGGCCCAATTTGAAGATTTGACAATTTCTTTTACTAATAAACATTAAATGCTCAACATCGCTGGTTGTTTTGCATGCAGGGATAATTTCCTCACTAAATTCCCCTCCGCAGGTCTAAAATATCTTTTATTTAATAATAAATATAGTGATATTAATACCTGTATCAATCCTGTTTCTTTGATATCTTCCCTTTTCCACACACATTGTTTCCAAGGTGACGTCACAAGTTCTACATTTCCTGTTTTCCCAGGCCTCCCAGGATCTCCTTTCGCACCAGCAGGACCAGTTGCTCCAGGCAGACCATCTCTTCCGGGATTTCCTGGAACACCAGGGATACCTGGGATGCCTGCTGAAGCACAGGTTACATGAGAAGGCTTGTGAAAATAACAGTAAGTTGTTTAGAATAGTTCCCTCGATACCAGTGTAATCTAGTAACATGATTTTTTTGTGTTGGTGTTGTGTACTCAGGTGAATATGATGTTTGTGATGTTACTCTTATGGGTGTATATCCACACCGGGTGAGCTTGAAAAATATGTATTTCAAAGGCTAGTATTCCAAAGGTCGTAGGTTCGATTCCCACTGTGGCCGGGCGTATTTTTCAAGCTCGCCGGGCCTCGCCCGGTGTGGATATACACTCAGAGTAACATCACAAACATCATATTCACCGGAGTACACAACACCAACACAGAAATATAAAATGAATATATTCATATTAGCAATGACTGTTATAGGTGACGCTAATCGATTACTGTTCTTAATGCTGCCCGAAAGCAAATGGGAACGATTCTGGGGCGCACTAAAGCTACGATAAGCATTTTTGATTGTTGCAAGGTTGGTATAAGAAGTATCCTAGTATAAAAAGGAGTATACTGGTATAAGAAGTATTCTGGTCTAAGAAGTATTCTGGTATAAGAAGTATTCTGGTATAAGAAGTATCTTGGTATAAGAAGTATTCTGGTATAAGAAGTATTCTGGTATAAGAAGTATTCTGATATAAGAAGTATTTTGGTATAAGAAGTATTTTGGTATAAGAAGTATTCTGGTATAAGAAGTATTCTGGTATAAGAAGTATTCTGGTATAAGAAGCTAGTATAAGATTTTGAAAAAAGTGGTCTATACCCAGATAAACTGACGCATACTACGTCTGTCAGAGTCTGTGTACAGTATTATGCTGTAATACCGAGTCTGTGAAATTTCGTGACATTGCTTGTCGTCCCCCAGCTGCGTTACCCAGATGTGGGTTGTTGATACTGATTGGTTATAGTTAAACTCAGTAGAATATGATTGGCTGAGTTTCAACAAAGTTCTGACTTTGATTTACTTAAACAAATCACATCCCACTCCGGAATTGCCGTTATTTTCAACTCGTTGTTGCATTTTGTTTGTTCAATTGGATATCGAAACTGGCACTCTGGCAAAACTGGCGCTCTGGCGAAACTGGCGCTGTGGCAGATGGATAAAAAGCCAAAAACGTAGATAATTTTGGCGTATGGCATTTAGAGTCGTTATAGAAGACGTAAGACATAGTTTGTATAATTACCATATACTATTTTGTATATTATTTGTGACGTGTTCTGTGCTTTGCTACACGGCTTAATAACCATTATTTCTTTTTTGAAATTTTTGCATCAGATCTGAGTACTACAGTGTCGAGTACTACAAACTACAAACTTGGCATTCATCTCACCCAGCATCTTAAGTGGGGCGAACATGTGAAAAATACTACAGCTTCCTGTTATGCTACAATTGCATGTTGAGGAAGCTGAAACACCGGCCTGGCCCCGTATAATTTGCGTAAGACCTTGACAGAATTACTTGTCCTGTCGAAACTGGATTACGGTGATACAGCCTTCTATCCACTGATAAATGTAGATTTGAAGCGGCTCCAGAAATGCCAAAATGCCGCAGCAAGCTTCGTCCTAGGGAAATACGTTAAAGGCCGGTAAATCTTGAAAAGGTCGGATGGCTCCCCATGAAGGAAAGAAGAGACTTGCACCTCCTACAACAAACCTTTAAAGCAATTCATTTTCCTAACTGGCCTAAATATCTTAGTTTAGAACAGTCCATAAACGAAAGAAACCTCTGGTCGAAAGGCAGCATTCGTTTAAAAGTACCATTAGAGAACAAAACTTTTTAGGACAGCGCCTCAAATTAGAAACGTTTCACATTAGAAACTACAAGGATTTTAAAATTTTTACTGAATTAACCAAAGATTTTTTAATCGAACAGAAGTAATTAATCTTGTAAATTTTATACATTGTTAGTGTTGGATAATATACAGTATTGTTAGCAGACTAAGGGTTAGATACTTTAAATGGTTGGATAATTTAATAGGGTTGAATAATTTATATATATTGTTAGTGTTGGATAATTTTAAGTAGATTTGTAGGGGAAGAGCCATTTTTATGGATTCTTCAATAAAGTCATGGGGAAGCATAGGGATCGAAGAGTAAAATTCACAATGAACATCACTTGTGTGTCAAGAAAATATTATTTCGATTTTGAAAATCAAAGTCCAGCGTTCGTTGATATTTAAAACCAGCCAATTAAAATTCATTACGTCTAGTCGTGACCAATCAGAATCAACTACCCAGATCTGAGTAGCGCTACTGGGGGTCGACAAGCAAGGCCACGAATTTCCACAAACTTATTACAGCCGCAATATGTCCGCAGGCTAGGTTTGTCACTGGAAACAAAATATTTTGTGGCGCTTGCATAATTCTTCAATATATTTCCATATACTGCAGTTACAATTATTATAAATAATTACAAGCTTAACTACAATAACAAGGAAAAGGAGAATTCTTACCTTGCCTTTAGATTTACTTTCACCTCTGACCCATGTGCCAAGCATAAAGATTGCACAGAACAAGAAAATCACAAATTTAGAATCCATCTCACAATATGTCCGGATGATTCCTGGCAATAAAATAAGCAAGATAGTTTTTGATACTTTTAACAAGTAAGATACGTTTGTTTGTTTTTTTTTAACAAGTAATATTTGCCCAAAATATGGTACACGTGGTAATCATCAATTTCTCATTTTTGAAAAACTGTATCGAGCCACCTTTAATAAACTTTACAAGATACCCAAACAAATGCCGGTTCGCTATATCTAGTTGTATTACAATGCTGACTATAACAAGAGGCTGTTATAGCTGTCTATAACCGGGTACCATTAATTGTGTTTGGTTTATCAAAACGTCAAACTGATTGCCCTTAAATGCAATAAATATTACATTGTGTTCGAATTTGTAGTACTATTAAGTTGAAATAAATAGAAATATGGGTTAATATTAAACTCATGAATTGTGCAAGGAACTATGATATTTGATAGTGGCGTAGCGAATAAAAATGATAGACTTTTAGGGGCTGTTTAAACAAGGGCGGATTTTCATATTTTTCTCGGGGGGGGGGTGCAAAAATTTCAGGGGGGTGGTGAAGATCATGTGCAGGGGCGGATCTAGGGTTTTTGATGACCGGTTTCTAGGTTCACCCAACTAATAGGGGGGTCCGGGGCATGCCGTCCGGAAATATTTTAAAATTTGGGGCTCTGAAACAGCATTTCCTGCGTTCTGACGTCACTTTTAAAATTAATCTAATGATTAGAAAATGCATGTTTTTAAGTGAATTTTTGACTAATACGCAGCTCTAACAATGAGTTGAACCTTTTCCGAAGCGTATTAGCTAGTGCCTAGTGATAAAAATATAGGATCCGCTAATTGCTAACACTTCGATTTAGATCTACACGCTTTCAATCCAACTCTAACGACGAACTAAAAACCAAACTGCAACAACGTGAAAGCTTCGCAATCATTTCCTGATTCTCAATCGCAATGATCAGTG